TATATAATTCTCTAACTATATCCAGTATCCAGGAGTATATAATCCTCTAACTATATCCAGTATCCAGGAGTATATAATCCTCTAACTATATCCAGAATTCAGGGGTATATCATCCTCTAACTATATCCAGTATCCAGGAGTGTATAATCCTCTAACTATATCCAGTATCCAGGAGTATATAATCCTCTAACTTTATACAGTATCCAGGAGTTTATAATCCTCTTACTGTATCCAGTATCCAGGATTATATAATTCTCCAACTATATCCAGTATCCAGGAGTATATAATCCTTTAACTATATCCAGTATTCAGGAGTATATAATCCTTTAACTATATCCAGTATCCAGGAGTATATAATCCTCAAACTATATCCAGTATCCAGGATTATATAATTCTCTAACTATATCCAGTATCCAGGAGTATATAATCCTCTAACTATATCCAGTATTCATGAGTATATAATCCTCAAACTATATCTAGTATCCAGGATTATATAATCCTCTAACTATATCCAGTATCCAGGAGTATATAATCCTCTAACTATATCCAGTATCCAGGATTATATACTTCTCTAACTATATCCAGTATCCAGGAGTATATAATCCTCTAACTATATCTAGAATTCAGGAGTATATAATCCTCTAACTATATCCAGTATCCAGGAGTGTATAATCCTCTAACTATATCCAGTATCCAGGAGTATATAATCCTCTAACTATATCCAGAATTCAGGTGTATATCATCCCCTAACTATATCCAGTATCCAGGATTATATAATCCTCTAACTATATCTAGAATTCAGGAGTATATAATCCTCTAACTATATCCAGTATCCAGGAGTGTATAATCCTCTAACTATATACAGTATCCGGGATTATATAATCCTCTAACTATATCTAGAATTCAGGAGTATATCATTCTCTAACTATATCCAGTATCCAGGAGTGTATAATCCTCTAACTATATATCCAGCATTCAGGATTATATAATCCTTTTACTTTATCCAAATCCAGGAGTATATAATCCTCTAACTATATCCAGTATCCAGAAGTTCATAATCCTCTAACTATATCCAGAATCCAGGAGTATATAATTCTCTAACTATATCCAGTATCCAGGAGTATATAATTCTCTAACTATATCCTGTATCCAGGAGTTAATAATCCTCTAACTATTTCCAGTATCCAGAAGTATATAATCCTCTAACTATATGCAGTATCCATTGTTATATAATCCTTTAACTATTTCCAGTATCTAGGAGTTTATAATCCTCTAACTGTATCCAGTATCCAGGAGTATATAATCCTCTAACTGTATCCAGTATCCATTGTTATATAATCCTTTAACTATTTCCAGTATCTAGGAGTTTATAATCCTCTAACTGTATCCAGTATCCAGGAGTTTATATTCCTCTAACCATATCCAGTATCCAGGAGTTTATAATCCTCTAACAGTACCCAGTATCCAGGAGTTTATAATCCTCTAACTGTATCCAGTATCCAGGAGTTTATAATCCTCTAACTATAGCCAGTATCCAGGAGTTTATAATCCTCTAACTGTATCCTGTAACCAGGAGTATATAATCCTCTAACTGTATCCAGTATCCAGGAGTTTATAATCCTCTAACTGTATCCAGTATCCAGGAGTTTATAATCCTCTAACTGTATCCAGTATTCAGGAGTTTATAATCCTCTAACTGTATCCAGTATCCAGGAGTTTATAATCCTCTAACAGTACCCAGTATCCAGGAGTTTATAATCCTCTAACTGTATCCAGTATCCAGGAGTTTATAATCCTCTAACTGTATCCAGTATCCAGGAGTTTATAATTCTCTAACTGTATCCAGTATCCAGGAATAAAATGAAGGAATTCTAGTGTATACTCCGGGTAAAGATGAATCACAGCTGTTTGTTCCGAATGAAACTACTCCGATCAAGTAGGATCTATCATCGTTGTCCTGGAAAATATAAATTGATTGATGATAAATTTAAATTATCTCATTTGTATACATTTTTTCCACCATTATATTTTGCTCAATCATAATAAAGGGAAAAAAAGACTATTTTACCAAGGAATCGTCATATAAATAGTTTCAGGTCTTTTGAGTCTCATTCTTTGTGGGCAACCCAATAATGAACTTAATTTATACCCCAACCGCCCCCCTCCTCTACCTAAAGAAATCATAGGCTTAATGTCTCTTATTTATTGACTACAATATGAAACATATATTACCAGCATGAATAAAGGGCCCCCGCTGTCTCCACTGCATGAATCTGAGTTGAGTGCCCCTGAAGCACATAGTTGATTTGGCAGAATACTGAAGAGATCTAAAGATCCAAGACGACCTTCAGCCAAAGCTCTGAAATTATGATGTTATGTAATTTTTTATAGAATTGATAGTTCACACGATGAGAACCAGAAAACTGTGAAATAGGAAGACGACATGAAAACAATACTCTAGTGTGTTTGATGTTGTTTATCAGAAGTTAAATCAAGTAAAAACGGCAAAACTGCTTTGTCATTGTTTCAGGACTTTGAAATCGTCTTTGATTTCTGGTAGTTTGTATAAATGACAAAAAGTAGACAAATAAAGATTTAACATCCTTTGAGCTTTCCAAAGTGTGGTCTACCTTCTTTGTATTTTCAAAACTTATGGAAATATTAAACATCTGGAAAGATATCTAAATATCTCCGTCAACATTGAAGGTGCAAAAATGGTAAATCACATTTTGGAATTGCAAAGGCGATGTAGTTTTATTTATTAACTGTTAAAACTAGACTAGAATGGTACTAAAATTGTGTTCACTATATAATGCCATGCGGAACAAAAACGACATAACAGTCGTCACTGAATTCCTAAGTTTATTGGGACATCCTCTACAACCACTTTTTTATTTCTAAAAACTGTTGAAAAGGTTGACGACTGGTTGAAGCTCAAGTTATAAATTTAAATATTCCAGAGATCAAAACACAGCAAATATACAACTTGTTACAATGTCCAAAGACACATTTCACTTTTTTCAAACATATACAGATAAACCTATTTCCATTAAAACAACATTAAATACAGATAAGATGTGAATATGTCGTCTTCAATTGGATCCAACTTAAGATGCAGATGCAGAGGCGTTTACAAGAGGGGGGCAGATTTTTTGACATATATTAACCCTATTTCAAATGAGGAATTAACGCCCTTGTTGGTGTATTTATGAAATGTCTTACCTTTCATACATGAGTGAGCAATGTGTGTTGTTTAGTGTTTGAAGATGTGTAAACTGAAGAGTATTGGATACCCATGAACTCTCTGTTCTGCCCCACCCTGCTACAACAGCTTGCACGTTAGACATGTCGTCTTCTATCTCAGGATTTGGTTTGGAAACGCAAATAGGACGAACCTGGGAGTTGATCTCAACTTCTTCAGCTAGCTAAATACAAAAAGGAAATTTTTTTCATAGCTAATATCTTTCTAACTGCAGCTGCTGGCAAAATATTCTGACTCAATTTAAAAATGTCATAGTTTAAATCTTGATCAGTCAGTAACGTCGCAAGTTAGGACAATAAATGTGGCCAGCAGGGAAAATAAAGTAAATGTAGTCGGGATGAGATGATATATGAAAATAACATGGACATTACTCATTAGGGATATAAACTATAAAAAGTAAAATGTTACTCCTTCTCGAGCAAATAAAAAATCGTTAACATCCAAAAATTAAAAAGTGACAGAAAAAAATCTATAATTTACAAAAAAACATTTTCACCTGTAGAACTGCAATATCATAGATAGCTACAGGAGATATTATAAATTTAGGGTGAGGGAATTTCTCCAATATGCGGATTTCTTGGCCCTCAGGAATACTAAAATTTATATCAGGTTTTNAATAACATTTTCACCTGTAGAACTGCAATATCATAGATAGCTACAGGAGATATTATAAATTTAGGGTGGGGGAATTTCTCCAATATGCGGATTTCTTGGCCCTCAGGAATACTAAAATTTATATGAGGTTTTTTATAAAGTTTTTTTAATGTCTTTGCTGTATTTAGTATCAAAATTGCTTAACAATAAAATTAGCTAAGTTGTTTGTTATATTTATGTCTAAAAAAACTAAATATACTTTTTATGTTAACCATATGAAAGTTATTTGTGAAATATGAATATAACCTAAAATGGATTCTCAAATAATATTATGTTTTTCGTTATTAGAATGGTCATGTCCATTTTTTAAAATATATATTTATGACAATTTATGAAAGTTATTTGTGAAATATGAATATAACCTTAAATGGATTCTCAAATAATATTATGTTTTTCGTTATTAGAATGGTCATGTCCATTTTTAAAAATATATATTTATCACAATTTATGCTGTATATTCTGTAGTAAGGAATATGCTCATAATAAGAAAGATTTGGGTTTTCAGATCTTTAAACAGTATTGCATTTTTCTGGCTAAAGAGTGGCGTAACGAAAATAATCTTTTTATTGTTTAAAGGATTTGTGAATATATAAGTACCTAATATCTGTTTAAAGGATTTGTGAATATACAAGTACCTAATATCTGTTTAAAGGATTTGTGAATATATAAGTACCTAATATCTGTTTAAAGGATTTGTGAATATATAAGTACCTAATATCTATTTAAAGGATTTGTGAATATATAAGCACCTAATATCTGTTTAAAGGATTGTGAATATATAATTACCTAATATCTGTTTAAAGGATTTATGAATTTATAAGTACCTAATATCTGTTTAAAGGATATGTCAATATATAAGTGCCTAATATCTGTTTAAAGGATTTGTGAATATATAAGTACCTAATATCTGTTTAAAGGATTTGTGAATATATAAGTACCTAATATCTGTTTAAAGGATTTGTGAATATATAAGTACCTAATATCTGTTTAAAGGATTTGTGAATATATTAGTACCTAATATCTATTTATAGGATTTGTGAATAAATAAGTACCTAATATCTGTTTAAAGGGTTTGTGAATATATAAGTACCTAATATCTGTTTGTCCAAACGAGACGCTGGTAAGACGGAATCCTTTCTGACCCTCTAAGCATTCAATATTCAAAATTTTGTTTAAATTGTTTTTATTATTTGATAAATTCAGAAATATATTTTTTGCCAAAATTAAAAGAAAAAACAGCGCTGAATGTTGAAGTCAATTTATTTGGTATAAAGGACTTTTGAATCTACTATACACTATAGTTTCAGTAGAAGTAAATATTTACATTTACTGTTTAGTCCCGATACAAGGATTCATCTCTAATTGGATAATGAGATAGATAGAAAGATAGATGTTACCGCCATACTATTTCTATTGGTTCTAAAGAGACACCAAACACATGACTGAACCCTGATTGGATCGGGCGCTAATGGAATGGCATTAGACTAAACCACTAAAATAATTCAGAGTGGAACTAGAACTTATTTGAAAAACCACATATCTTTATTTGCAACATGAGCTGGAAATGTTTGCATTGAATATCCTACTTTGACCAGGAATTCAGCTGCTGATTTTATATTTCAGGTGAACAAACTTTATAGATAAAGAGGTTTAACTGCTGAAGTCTTGGATCATATATTCAAAACAACAATTCCCAGCTCAGATGATGTAGAGTGAAGAAATCTGATACTTCAAACATTCTTATGTTGAAATATCAGGTTGACAAGACATGGAATTATAAATTTAAAGTTTAAAGAAAGTATAAATATGTCTTTTTAAAATTAGTTTGATGAATATATTATTCCTAGGCAATGAGCTGCTGTTACCACATGCCTGGTTCCAACTAATACTCCTCCACACAGATGAGCTCTAAAATGTTTAAAAACACTTTTGACCTTTTTTCGTATTTCTCTTGGTATTTCTTATCTTGGTTTGAAATTTCAAAANACATTCTTGAACTTTATTCGTATTTCTCATGGTATTTCTTATCTTGGTTTGAAAATTTCAAAAACTAAATTTTTTGACTATTTTATTTATACCCTATTGCGTCCTAAAAAGTACTTTTACGCATTTCTAATTTTGGTTCGAAAGTTAAAGAAATATTTTTTACACTCATTTTTAAATCTACATCAGAATAATTTTTTTGCACAAAGACACAAGTTTTGTGTTGGGAATCTCGGAATAGAGCATTAATCTCCATCTTATACAGATCTACAGATTATTTTATAATTCTTCTTCGATATCCTGAGACTGAATTTAAAGAATTTGAGCCACGGCTTAAGTTTAAGCCTCGGTTTAAATATGGTTGGTTCCACTTAAAATTCATTCAATGTTTCAAGATTTAAGTCGGCGCTCAATTGAAACCGGTTTTTGGCGGATTTTAGATGCGGCTCAAATTCATCAAATTAAAAGTACCCACATTGGATATAGACACTTTCCAGAAAAGTTCCGACCTCAGAGCCTGCGATTTAAAAACTTCGGCTCGAGCAGTAAAAATGAAACTGATTGTGAAAGTACCTGTTTCCTTGAGAATTAGTATATATAAGAGATCCCATCCATGGAAATTGACCCGGCACTGCAGTAGATCCAAATGTTATTCTTCAACCAAGGACAGTAAAGTAAGTTGCCATGTTAAAGAGTTATTAAAATATCAAAATGTGGATTATAGCAGACAAGAACGCAAGGCAAGGAAAGTTAATTGCGGTCGTGTCTACACTGCGTACATAATGAAACCAGTTCTTTTTGGGCGGAATTTGTAAACAAGAATAGATGCATCAGTGTTTGTTTAGTATCCGAGGAGGTTAAAAGCATTAAATTTTGATAATTTTGATAATTCACATAATAGTTTCCTATGACCAGAATATTTCATTGATTATTTATGTGAAAGATGGATCCCATGCCAGGCTTTGACATCCGTCTTGTGTTTACATTTCCGCCCAGAGACAGTACACTGCAGTACAAAAGATGTGTACACTTCTGAAATAACTTTCCTTGCATTACATCCTTGATAGCAGACATGTGAAGCAGAATTTAAAAACTATAAAATGCTGAGAATAAAAATGTCACTGTAATGAACTTAATAATGTAATGAATAATGTATTAATTGTAATTTTAAAAAGTGATCTTTGTCAATCGTGGTTTCTCTGTAAAAGTACATATTGCATTCCTGCTTCAGGAAAGCAAAGTAGGAATTATGAAAATTTAACACTTTTCAAACTAGAATTTACAAATCATTGATCAGAAAATGGGTTTAAGGGCAGTGTTGCGAATCGGGAGAGTTACCCAATATATGGACAGTTACTTGAAATTACGACGACACACCCTTATACTTGTTGGGCAATCTCATTCTTTAAAGTCTTGCCTTAGAGATAAATTTTCCGTTAGTCCACACTCAGGATGGTTTAGAGTTCCTTCAGTCCCTTCAATCCCTTCAATCCCTTCAATCCCTTCAATCCCTTCAGTCCCTTCAGTCCTTTCAGTCCCTTCAGTACTACAAATATTTGAAAATATATATTTTTCAATGCAGGGTGACGCGCGCAGAATCACAGTCATTTAAATGTTAAAAGCTCTTATTCAAAAATCTATAAGAATTTTGTCAATTTCTACCTAAAAATTAAGGCTAAAATCAAGTGTGTTAAAGTTCTTTAATACACAATGCACATGTGAGTTAGTGAGGTAAACAATGCACAATGCACATGTGAGTTAGTGAGGTAAACAATGCACAATGCACATGTGAGTTAGTGAGGTAAACAATGCACAATGCACATGTGAGTTAGTAAAGCCTAA